GGCCAGCAAGGTTCCATTGTGAAATTCTCCCCCATCTATGTTTTTCACACCGAGGAAGAGAAGAAGTCATCCCCATGGAAGGCGCCTTAAGCGAACTCCCCAGCCCATCAGTTTGATGTCGCCGTCGAGGAGACTCCGGGGTGAAACATGGCCCCGAACCACGTCAGAGCTCTCTTTCGAACGCCGACTTGGCCACGTCGACGTTGCATCCGGCCACAAGGGAGATCGCATCCAAATTCACCCAGCCACCAGTCATCTTCACTGTTTCGGCTTCATGGGGGGGTCGGTGCGTACTGGATCCAAGCTTCTGTGGCCCGCACCAGATAGTGCCCGCTCCCCAATCCATGTCGTAGGATGCCACCAGCGTGTGATCAATATTGAGCACCCCACCACCCTCATCCTTCGTGTCCGCAGCCAGCGCCATTGTCACCCTTCTGATCATGCTGATATGCGCCGTTCTCGTCCTTGCGGTGCGTGTCTTGACGAATGCCACCCACGCGGTGCGGTTCTCCCCGAGGTTCTGCGTGCTAGCGAACACGATCTTGGCCTTTGCGACAATCTTGATCACCTGCCACATGCGTTCTTTGACATCTTTCATCGATTCACCCTCCCTCTCCGTGAAGCGTATCATCCCTACGCTCCTTCTGGGCCCAAACACTGAGATCTTGTCGGTGTCAAGGAGCGGCGCAACTTCAGGGAGTTTCAGCACATCATTTGCCTCCGTCTCAATAACCGATCTCCTTGTATCTTGCATCCATCCTCCCACAATCAAGGTCTTTTGGTCCTCAGGTGTCAGAGCATCAGGATCGCCCCGGGCAGGTCCAAGAGCTTCACCCCCTTGTAGGTCCTGCAGTCCTTGTTGACGACCATTCGGGAGAGGGCCAGCTTGTCCTCTGCGGTTTCGGAGATAGTCACCCCAGGGGTCAGCTTGAGCTGGTATATCGTTCTGGGGCATGCCCTTGTCATTGCGAGTGCCCTTCTTTGTTTCCTCAAGTTGCACCTTGAGTTTCTTGACATCCTCAGTGAGAGCCTCCAACCTGGGCTGAAACTGTTCCTGGTGCTTCTTGATGCCATGGACTTCCTTCTCGGTGATCTTAATCCTCCCAGCCATGGATGCCATTTCTCCCGCCTGTTTACCTTGCTGAGTCTCGATGCTGCCCAGTCGATGTTCAAATGTCTTCCAGGCGTCCTTCATGTCCTGTGCGTGGAGTTGAAGGAGTTGGCGAAGTTCACCCCCAGTAACCGGTCTATCTTCAGATCTGACGGAACTCGGTCGTTTCGTGGGGCTCTCTGTACCATCATCCTCGCTCGGGCCAACCGCAGCAGCTTGACCTCTGCCTCGTTTACGCCTGTCACTTTTGGGCTTCTCTTCCGTCTCCTTCTTCACAGGGTCCAGCTCCATGTCCGACTCCTCCGCTATTTCCGTCGGCGAGCCGGCTGCCGCTTCAGGCCCATCCACATCAATGGGCCCAGAAAGAAGGTCATCTGCATCCGCAAGAACGTCCCCCATGATTCCAATAGTGGCACCGGTCTTGCTCAAGAAGATCACCCCGAGGAAGGTACACGTAGAGCCGGAGGATGTGGTAGGCGAAGAGGTCCAAGGACAGATCACCCCGCCACGCTGAGCCAAAGGAGGAAAGGGCGTGGCTGTCCAAGTCTCAGCCAGAGGGTCACCAAAAGGTCTTCCCGACGAGGGCGCACGTAGAACAGAAGGAGGCAGTGGGCGAAGAGGTCCAAGCGCAACTCACCCCGCCACGTAGAGCAACACCTGGAAGCGGGCGAAGTGATCTAGATTTCCGCAGCTCAAGGCAGTCCAGGCCAGCCAGCAGCCCAGCAAAGAGGTAGGAGCCGAAGAGGAACAGGCCGCCAGATCACCCCACAGCCCACAGAGAAGTCGCGAACTTGTAGAAGACACCCAAGCACGGGAGCCACAAGGGAAGAAAGGGACACGCAGAACAGACACAGTTCGGGCCAAAGCTTGAGCCGTAGTTTAGGGTTTAGGGTTTAGGGTTAGGGTTTAGGGTTTAGGGTTTAGGGTTTAGGGTTTAGTTGGATTTTGTTTCGTGGGTGGAAAGGGTCTTCAGAGCCCGGGGTCAAGGTTCAGGGTTTCGGGTGCGCCGTCTTGTGTGTGTTGGGAAAGAGGGGTTTCGGTTTTACAAGGAACACGTCTTCGGACTTGGAGTGGAGGTCCAGGAGGTCCGTCTGCGGAGTTCGCACTCATGGCGCCTTCATGGAAAGCGAAGCTGCACCGCTGCCGAACCCCAAACCCCCGGAGACAGCAACACGACAAGCTGATCGGATGAAGATCCTCAAGCTCAGACTTCGCAACCAGACAGGGGCCTGAAGCAATCGGCGCTCCACCCACGATCTCATCGCAGCTAGAAGACCTCGTAGTCATAACCGAACCGTCGTGTGGAAGGCTGTTTTGATTCAAGGCTCCGGCAAGCTTGCATCGAGTCTAGAGAAGGTCACTGCTTAGCATGAACGGTGAGCCCTTTTGAGCATCCTCTTACGGTTCCATGCCGACAGTGCGCAGCCCAAGAAAGGAATTCAAGAGGTACCTGGGACAGCCCTGCACGAATCAGGCAGCAGAAGTCGAAAGTTCTGCGCAATCCATGGACGTGATGTTTCATAACTTTCAAATCTAAGACCTAGTCGCAAACCCGAAGCCCTAAACCCAAGCTAAAGAAAGCTTTCGTCTTCAGGACTTGTGAGTCCAAACCTCTCGCAGAACTCACTCGATGCTCTGAGGCAGCAGGAGACCCGACCCAGGGATTAGGGCTTCGGGCCTGGGGTTTGGGGTTGTGGGGCTTCGGCTTTAGAGTTTAGCCTCGTAGGAATGGAGGGCTGTAGAGTTTTAAGATTTGCGATTTCAAGTTGTAGGGTCTAGAGTGTGGATGGGTTGTAGGGTCTGGGCTGCACGATTTAAAGGCCATCCGGTTGGACCCTAAACCGAAACCGAATTCTAAAACCCTAAACCCTAAACCCCTGAACCCTAAACATTTTTTTGAACCCAGACTCTGCCAATCAGCTGGGAAGCAGCACTTCTAGACCATTGCATCTGGGAAGTAGCGCCGCCAAACTCAAACCTAAAACCCTGAATCACTGAACACGAACATTAAACCCTAAACCCCTAAACCCTTGGACCATCAACTCGCCGATGCTGGGCGGCGCGCGAGTGGAACTCAACCTCGACCTCAGCGAGGAATTCATAAGGGTCACCGGGGAGTGAACTGCAAACGAACCTCTGGAGTTCCATCATGTAGCCAGGGGCTTTGGGTTTAGGGCTTCAGGGTTTTAAGGTAAAGGGTGTCTTGGGAATTAGGTAGGGTTCTGAACCCTACATCCCATCCTCCTCTAGAACCCAAATCAACAAGGACTAAAAACCCTTTTACTCCCGGAACCTCGGCGTCTTCCGAGCTTCCAACGACCGACCAGAAGCCCACCAAAGGCCTAGGCTGATCAGAGCGTTCATGTTTCGGACGTCTGTGTTCGGAGGCTTACACTTAACCGAAGTGTACATCCGACACCTCACTGGCGGGGTTTAGGGATCTCCTGGTTTGGGAATATACATGTGCAGCTGCTGAAAATTCGTGCGAACATAGCATCACAATGTGAAAGTGTCTGACAAATCAGCACTTGACAGGCCAGATCGGGCTGCATTCGCCCACTTTCAGGGGGACGTAGCTGCCGGGCATCTGCGGAAACTAAGTATTCAGCAATGGTGTGGGTGGGAACGGCCCTGGGGGGCCGCGTGGGAGTTTAGGGTTTCGGCGTTTGTTCGAGGATAGACTTCGAGAATGGAGAGCACAAACAACATGACAGAATCTGCAACAAATCACTGTAACGCCTGAGCCTCAGCAAGTGTTCCTCCTTGTTTCTCTGCAGCCTGCAAGGCATTCGCCGAAGCGGCTTTGTGACCCCTGTGGACGACTTTTTAGGAGAACGAAGGTAAGGTCCTAGCCTGCATAAAACCTTACAAAACCCAACAGCACCCTTGAAGACAGCCTTACAAAGAGGTGTTCCCAGGACCCCGAACTCGGCGTTGACGATGCGCCACTGGCGGTCGGGGGCCTTCGTTCTGCTGCACGGATGGTTTAAGTAGGTTTAGTTTCGCCTTGGGGTTTAAACTTGAGGCATCTTAGGTTGAGCTCAGGGTTTAGGGTTTGGACGTTACGGGTTTTCGTGCGCAGGTCCTTTACCGACAATCCGCAATGTAGATATTATAGGTTCAGGAGCACCCCTGAATTGGAGTGTATTGAGCTTTGGTGGCTTGGGGCTTAAAAGTTCAGATGGAGGGTTTCAGCTTATGGCTTGCGGTTTGGAGTTTCAAGTCTTGAGCTATGGATTCACAGTTGCGGTTTCAGATTTCTGTATCACGGTAGAGTTCACACTCACGAAACCTCAACACCAGCTGGAACCGGCATCGGGGTTCGCAAGCAGGCCTGAAATGACGGTCCAATGGTCCCCCACTCTGATCCCCTAAACACACCCAAGGTGCGCTTTCGGGCATGGAAAGAACTCAAGACGATAACAAAAGACGAGCTGCTGAACCGTGCCTGGGCCTAGACTCGGGAGGCTCGTTGTCACGGTTTGGCTTAGGACTGCTGCTCCGCGAGTCATTCGAGGAGGATCAAGAAACCACATGAGCAAGTAACAAGATAAACACACGCCAGATACAAGCGGTGTACTCACCCGGCGAGAATAGAACCCTAAACCCAAGACAAGCTACTCGAATGCTCAAAGTACCCCATACTAGAACAGCGAGCAAAGCCGAGCCAGGCACGATCTGGCCAAGACCTCCGCGGACACCTCCGTTGTCATTTCCAAACCATTTGGAAGTAGGCGTGTAGGTTTAGGGTTTAGGGTTTAGGGCCTTAGGGTTTTTTTTTATTTTTTAAACTCCTTTTTCCGATGCCCGAAGGTCTCGAAAGGCTGGTACAACCAGGACTGCGAGCCCCTTGTCGGCCCACAGCAGAAAACACCAGACCACTCCGCACTTAGTCCCATCGCATTCCCGTATCCTTTCCCGATGAAGCAGCTGTCCCTCGCGTATCCTCCTCCACCGCAATCACCCCTTCACTCGGCATCAAGGTGCCCGCAAACCCAGGTAGAGGTAGAGGTGGTAGTCCAGCTTGTAAGGCACTGCCCTCCACTGCACCCGTAGTTGCCGGCGATGTCACTGGTACTCCCTCTTGCTGAGTCCATACACCTGCAGCCTCCAGTTCCCCCGACGAGAGGAGGAGCTCCAGGACCTGGTCACCGTAGAGGCTGCGTACCCCTGAGTCCGTAATGTCCCCCGCTGTCCACCTGCGTAGCACTTCCTGGAACTGAGGAGTTTAGGGTTTAGGGGTTTAAAGTTTAGGGTTTAGGGCTTAGGGTCTGGGGTTTAGGGTCAGACTCTAGGGTTGAGGGTTTAGGGTCCAATGTTCCCTTCCCAATGTCCATGACACCCAAACCGGTCGCCTGCACTTCTGCGGTTGGTTTCCTAGTTGGGAGGCTTGATTGAAAAAATGCTCCGAAGACCTAGGCAAGCTTGGACCTCTGCAACAAGAGCCAGTTGAGACAACAACCTGACTCAAGCTCCTATCAAGTCCGCACAATGGAACAATAAACTTCAGCCGTTCAGGAAGGCTCGAAAGTCGTGGCTCAAACTATTTATGTCACCAAGCATTGGGGGTTTCAAACCAACTCGAGCAAGCCTTAATATGATTTGGTACCGTTCATCCTCTCTTGTCGACAATTTGTTGCAAGGAACCTGGATTGTGAGTTGAGGGGGTTGAGAATGGCAAGTGCATGCTGACTCAGGGTCAATCCGAGATGGGGGAATTGACAGGCCGGTGTGTGGGTCTGCTGTTTGCGAGCCGGGCACAGCGGAGCAAAGATCTGAGACAGGTACAGATCAAGCCCAGAAGCACGAGCCGGAGCATGTGCAGATGACCATATCCGCGCGAGATGCAATGCTCCTGAATTCCATGACGAAGCCTGCACCACTCCAAGCACGATATAAAACTATCAACAATGCATCAACAACTGCACAGAAGCTGTGTGTCCTGCTGCGGATGTCCCAATGAAGTGTGTAAGCAGAAGGTTCAGAAACTGCCGACGGCTATGCCAACACCTCATGTGACTTGATGACAAGCCACTGACAGAGTTCTCATCGAAAAGAACATTACCATGAACACACCCGTCCCTGGAGCCAGAATGTCCACGCAGGTCGACGGCGTGGTGTCAGAGCGGTTTCGCTCGTAGCTGGCTCGTAGCTGCCATGTAAGCTCAAAGACTCTAGCAGTCTTTTGTGAAAGCGGCTTATACCTTGGTTCACCACTGCAAGAAGGATGATGATGCTCATGAAACTCGATAGGGCCCGTTGACTCAACTTGGACTGCTGATGAGTGCAAAACGTGGCGGCCTGCAAGCTGATATTACCCGGACTTTGCTGCAAGTGACCAGGTTTGCACTGCACTTCACAATGGCTGTTACAAACACATATTACGACCATCAAGCCTGCGACATGCTTCTTGAAGTCTGACGCCTCCCGGCATGCTCCGAGCTCAGCATGGCTACTTCAAGACTGACTGTATGTGCGATGACGGCTCAGACTTGCCCTGGCAGTTTTACATTGTAAGCTATAGTACTTTATACTAGAATATTATAGAAAAAGTGTACTCTAGCAGGGCTATAACCGATTATGATGGACTATAACAGACTATGACAGACTATGATATACTCTGATATACTATACGGCAATAGACTCTAAAATACAAAAAAATGCTACAATGATTACAATGTACTATAGTT